AATGTAACTCAAATGCGGGGTAGTTCCATTCAAGGTTAGTCCACTGTTTTATTTCGTATTATTAAAGAAATTAACTAAACTAAAAAGATTATTTTTAAAAAACATCTGCAGTTTTCCAAACAAACTTAATTTCAGATTTAAAATCCCCACACCCGAATGAAATAAGATCAAATACTTCTAAAACTGGAACAAAAAAATTTTTTTTTCTCAGTGTTATCTGAATTAGTCCAAGAATAATCATTAAATCCTCCTCTCTACATCCTGGAAAACCTGGTACAATTTTAATGATCTCAATTTTCACTACTCCTATTCATTTGGTCGGCAATTCAGTGAATGGCAGAATTCAGCGAATGGCAGAATTCAGCGAAGGGCAGAATTGATTGCTGAATAAGGCAAGGTAAATTTCACTTGGTTAAATGCGATATGGCTGGGTCTTTAATTTGAAAATGAATGTTCAATTTGAATGAGATGTCGGAAATGAATAAAAATGGTAACCATTAACTTTCATGAAATGAAAAAATTCCTACTTTTACTTTAATTCGTACATGATATATTTGAATGCACATTTTAGTATGCATAAGTAATTAATATTCTTTACTAAAGAAATGTAAGAAACAGGATTCTTAATATGTATGTAAGGGGAAGCAAGACTTTTTAGTATTTTCACCTGAAAGAAATGAATATTTTAAATCATGTAGCTTTGATTTCTCTATTAATTAAGCATGAAAAGTTTCGAAACCAGCAGTTTACTTTATGATAAAGTTATTTGTCAATTAATTTCGTCAATTGATACACACATTAGTTTGTCAATCGTCAATTGATATATGCATTAATTTCGTACTCTCTTTCGCACGGAGAAACTTTTTTTTTTTGTAAAATTACCATATTTTAATTTAAAAATCAATGAATGGTAATGAAATTTCTGATAATAATGATAAAATACTGGTTAAAAAAAGGCGAAATCTACTATATTTAAACCAATACTTTGGTAACTTTTCCTTTCAATTATTAACGGTTTACCGGATTTTCTGGTTTTCATAATTGTAGTTCTTATTACCAACATTTAGTTAAAAATACTAAACTGAAAAGTAAGTTTAACCAAATGATTGATTTTTACCGCCATGATCTAAAATATCACAATGCGACTATAAAATTTTGTCACATTTACCAAATTTAATCACATTTATAAAACTATATTTTATTGTTAATTTTACCAAACTCATTACTAAAGCACTTCAGTAAAAATTACCTAGAATTATGGATTTTTTTTCTAAAATTAGAAAAACGTTTTAACGAATTAAATTATAAATTTAAATTTTTTGCTTCTGATTAGATAAAATGCTGAAAACTGAGTTGAGAATTTTTTATTAATCAGACAAAAAACTCGAGTATTAAAATATTTATGCATGTAAAAATGGATAAAACACTTTAATTTCTCCGTCAAGAGAATTTATAGATTACAGTAACTTAAACATCATTCAAATATTGCTTTAAAGAATAGACTATATTAATCTTAGAAATAAAAAAGCATAACAAAAACAAATATTTTTGCAAAATATAAAAATCAGTTTTTTTCACACAGGTCACGCAAATTAGCATTTCTATTGTCCTGTACGCGTCAAATATGCATAAAGCAGCGATTTTTAAAATCCTTTTTTTGTATTTAGTAAGGTTTGGCGCCTATTAAATAAGCATACAGAGAAAAAAAACTTCTTATTTATCCCATAACAAGTAGCCTCATTAACCTTTCCCGTTTGTCGCCTTAAGAATACTTGAAACTTATTGTACTAACATTATCTAAAAGAAGATTAACTCAATTATGGAAAAATGTGCGTAATTAGTTTGTATGTTTTTTTTCCTGTTTGAAATATCTTTTTCCTTTAATTTGAAAACTAATATCTTTCATTTAGTTTTATTAAGCTTTTAAAAGAAAATAAAAAATAACGCTATTTTAGAGATTTTATTTAAAAATTATTATTATATCATCAAATTTTAATGTAAATAATAAAATGTTTATGTAAATTTTTATGCAAAAAAGAAAACACTTTTTTAAATGACATACTTTGGAAACTAATTGGCAATTTTTCATTTTTAAATTGAAAAATATGAGACAAAATCTAACTATCTCCTTCACCTTCGTGAGTTTAAGTTAATAATATTGGGAACATAATTTTTCTATTGTATGAGTTTTTTTTTAACAGTTCTTAGATACCTTCGCATCATTGATTTCAAATCTACAATCTGTTTCTTTCTTCAAGCTACAGTACTTTTTTAAAAGCATTTTCAGTGTACTTTTTAAAGAAATGTACAAGTTTAAGAACTTTATATATGATAGGGAATTGTATAAATGTTGCGGCAAACGTCTAGAAATGTACGGACGCATCGTCAGGGTTAAAATTACGTAGGAACCCATGCCTGGAATTTTAGTCATACGCCGCTAGGGCCGCTTCTTCTTGTAAAGTGTTGAGAAGCACACAAAGAAACAGTTGATAATAGGGAAGCGTTCCTAGCTGCGTACGTTGACATTTCTGGGCATTGTTTTTTTTTACTTTACGGCTATCAATGTTTAACTCTATAGCCCTGTTTTTTTTAACCTAACAAGGAAGACAAGAGAATTTTTTGATCGAGCATTAGGACAAACTTTCCTTTGTGAAAGACTTTTTGACCACTCTAAATCGCATTTACGTTGAATGGAGAAACAAGGAGATTCTAACTTTGTCTACCACTGAGGATGTTTTCACGTCAACACTTCGGTTTGTATGAGCTTAGAGCCGAATCCGTTTCGACCAGTCACTGCTGGGTATCGAACCTGAATCCCCTTATCTTGAAGCAAAATCCTGCATCCTATGAGCCACAACATCTTTATTCCAGTATATTGAAGCTTTCCGATCTGATACATTTTCTTGTACTCAAAACAATTTTACTACCAAATATGTCTCTTAACATTATATATTTTAACATTAGCTATAAAAATAAATCATTATTACTACAAAATTTGTGGTCCGTTTCACTACATTTTGGCAAAGCGCGACACCATGTTAAAAATATCCAGATATACGTTAAAAATATCCAGAGTTAACTTCTTGTCATCCGTTCCTTACATTCAATCAGTACAATTTGGTCATAAATCTTTAAGTAGGGTAAGCATGCTTCAAGCATTATTATTCCATGCAGCATTTTATTGGACTTGAATTAACCATATGACCATAAGCCATGCAATCGGATTTTGACATAAACGGTGTATGCTCGCAAAATAAAACAGTCAATTTTTGTATCGGATAAACCGAGATGAAATAACGTTCTTCGGATTTATAAGCTGGAACTTAGTTCTTAACTTCATGAAAGCATAAAACAAAAAACAAGAAATATGAAACCTCTATCCAATAATATTTCTTCTCTAAAAGTGTTTCTATTTTGATAAGTATCTCTCTTATCGAAACTTTGCAGTTTCTGCTTTCAAGAATCATTCACTTGTATATTATCCTCTTCCACAGCATTGAAACTTTCGCTTCATAAAGAGAACTAAAGTACATTCGAAGCACATTTAATCCCTTTCCGGCCATTTCTTTTTTGACTTTTGACTTAAAAAGAAACTTTCTTTAAACAGCTTTATCAATAAAAATATTTACTCCAGTATATATATATATATATATATATATAATCAGAAAGTTTCACGAGGGAGAAATCTCTCTGTTAGCCTTTTTGTTACGAGCATTTTTTTTAGTGGTGTTAAACCATTTCTGGGACTGACGGGAGAAATAAATTCATTAAGCCTATTACCCAAAATTAATTTAAATTCTAAAATTCTGAGAAAAGTATTTTTTAAGAAAATTTTACTCGCTGCAAAGAATCGGCCATGCACTTCAAAATATTCAAATTTATATCTTCGTAATTTTGAATCCAATGCAGAAGAGAAGGAAACTCCTGTATCAAGTATTGGGAGAAATTTGCCTTCGGGGAGGAATTTTTGATGGAACTAATCCGTATTTGCGTTACATGGAAAGGAAAACTACGAAAACCTCCGACGGTTAGCGAGATGGCAAGGGGACTCTCACCCAAGATCCCTGAGGATATTTAATGTCAGCACTGAGGTCAGTGCTCACTTAGTGCAGAATTCGTCTAAATCTAGACTCAGAAATTGTCGGAAGTCCAGACTTGGCGACATATTTCGATAAATAAAGAGAATATTCGTTCTTGAGAAAGGAAGAATTATAAATAATGGATGACAAGAGCAATGGATTTGATTAGATCACTAAAAATGGCACGTCCTTTGCTGATTCATTTTGTTTAAAGTATATTTAATTATTTACATCTATTTTAAGCATATTTATTTTAATACAATAAATCTTTATTTACTGAATGGTCATTAGGGCCAACTTATCATTTCGAAAGCCGCGACATGGATACCATTAATGTTTCTCACGCCATTTTTTTTTCTTTTGCTTTGAAGCTTTCTTCATCTGACTTCACATATAGTTAGACAAATTATTTATTGTCAAATAAATCTTTAAGTGTAGTACGTTCCGTTTTCGTTAAAAAACAAGCATTGTCTGGTTGAAATTGAAGTTATTTGTTTAAAATCACAATTATATCTCCACAACTAAGAGTGCATTTTTAAATAATTTTATTATTCTCGTTGTTTTTTTGTTACGTCATTATATACCTTTGATTTATGTGCATCTGTATATGAATTGAGAAATTAAATTTATAATATCTTTGTGAATAACACGTAACTTAAAAATAAAAAAATATTAGAATATTTTTTTGGTTTTTTTTGTTTAAGTATTTTTTATGATTTAATTTCTCTTTAGTTAATTATTTTTGCTGTCTTTGAGTCTAAATTATAGGAAGTCATTTCTTATTTTTCAACTAGAATCGTTTCCTTTTTTTAGTTTCCTTTTTCCATAAAATGTTAAATTTTTTTCTTTGTGTTTTTGCATGCCTATCACATTTTTTTTCATTTCATCCCATCTTAAATAATCATGATGATGTAATTCTAGGTAAGAAGTGTTGAGTTGTCTGAATGCTTCATCCACCCTCCCCAGACACCTCAGCGTGTTCTCCATGAACATTGACTCGGACTACAACAAAGGAAACTTGAAGAACAGGTGAGCAAAATCTATAATTAACTTATTTTTCATACAAATCGAAAAAAAATAAGTCAGGTGCAAAAAAGGCCAATGTATGTTCAAATTAATTGGTTTCATTGAGGCCTCGTTGATAAAATCAAAAATTTTACAACGGCAGCATATTGTGCATATTTTTGTAGAAAATATTTTATAATATCTGTGATCTCAAACTTGATAAAATGTTTTTTTATTTCGCATTTTATATTACTATCGGGGTTGAATAGTCGACTCATTTTTTGAATTTGCGTCTGTCAATTTCTAACTCCATATCATTGTAATTTTGAACATTACCCAGTGGATTGATTATTGGGGCAAACTAATCTCAGTGCTTTTTTTTAATTATGGAATTAACCCGTATCCGTCTATTTTGTGATATTTTACTTCAGTACTGTGGTCGGTGCGAGCCGAGAACAGAATTTGAAACTTCCAGCCAACACTAGAATTCAAACCTGTGTCACCTCAGGGAGACATGAGTCTAATCCTTTGAGCACATTTGCCATTCTATCTCTTGAGCATTAATCACTATATTCTCTAAATATTCTTTGCTATATCTTCTGAGCATTAATCGCTCTATCTTCTGAGCCATCGTTCTATTCTCCGAGCATTCATCGTTCTATCCCCTGAGCCATCGTTCTAATCCCTGAGCCATCGTTCTATCCTCTGAGCACTCTACGCTATATCTCCTGAGTATTAACCACTCTATCCCCTGAGCCATCGTTCTATCCCCTAATCATTATACGCTATATTCCCTGTGCATTAATCGCTCGATTCCCTGCGTAATACTGTTTTATTCCTTGGGCATTTATCGAACTATCCCTTGAACATTTCCTGATCGCTCCATCCCTGAGCATTCATCGCAAAATTTCCTGAGCACAGGTTGCTCTGTCCTTTGGGTAATATCGTAAAATTAATTGTTAAATTAATTGACACTCTGAACTTAGAAGAGACACTCTAAAAAGAGACACTTTAAACTTAGTTTGTAAGCATTCTTTTCATATCCCGATGAGCCTAAACCTTGTTTATGACCACAAAAATTAAGTTTGAGTTTAATACTTTTAAATCCAAAACATAAAGCAATAAAATGCACGGTAACCATTAAAAAATTAAGAAAAATAGTTTGAAGAAAAACCAATTAATTTTTTTTTTCTGTTAGGGTTTTTTGCTACAGTTTATTTACTACTGGAAATTCCACGGTGGTTGGAAAAGTTTTTTATAGTGGAAATAAAATAATAATTAATGTAGGAAGAATGGAGAATTCTTAAAATCAGTCTACTTTGCCAATAATTAACGGATAACTGAATAATTAACAGACACTGTATGGATTGTGATTGTAAGTACTTTTTTAAAAAACTTCGAAAATCAATATTTATGCATTAAAATATGACTATTATTTTTTTAAATTTAATTTTCATTAATTTAATTAATTTTAATTTTTACCATTAGCTTAACTGTTAATTTGTTTTCACCAGGACCGTGCAAGTTAGTAGCCATGCTAGTGAAGTTTATGTGTTTGATATATATATTTACTAAGCATTCTAAAACGAGTTATTTGAATTCTTCCTCAATATTTTCTGCTTAAACATCGTTGACGCTCTAAGTCATGTATTTATTTGCTTTCGCTTTAATGCTCAAAACGCGTCGAAATAGAATAAAATTCACGCGACTAAAGCCGTTACATATCATTCTTGACTCGTTTTCAATTGTGAAAGGAATATAAAAAACCACACGTGCTAACATAATAAAACGAGTGTCATAAATTGAATTTAGAATTGAAATTGGACAGAACTTTCTTTGGTAATAAAAAACGCAACCTGAAAGAACATTTTATTCCTTCTTAAACACGGTTCTGGCAAACATCATGTTTATCTAACCTAACTTAAAAGCATCTCACAGAAAAGCACGAGTTTAAGCAATTTCGTTTCTCAGAAAAGGTTGTTTTTCTTCAAATTGATGATATGAATAAGAACATGCTACAGTAAGAAAAGAAAACTCAGTAGTATTTTTTGGTTGTTGCAGATTTGGGAAGTGAAAAAAAAATATTTATCTCTCAATACTCGATGAGTTACATTTGTAAAGTGAATTTTGGAGACGCTTTATCAAAAGTTTCGCTTCAAATAACTATATTTGACTTTTAAAGAAAATATCAGTTTTCAAAGCTTATTTGTATTCATTTATACAATAAATTAAAGGATTATTTATAAACTAGTGGGCTGCGCCCCCTTCTCGCTAGCGCTCGCCAACCCCCGAAATTGCTACACAATCTCATATAGTTTGCTTTGCAAACCAACCTCGCTTCGCTCGCTACTAACTTGGGTACATTGCAAATGCACAAAATTAAAGGAATTCAAAACAATTATTCAAATCCATGTAACAACTTTTTTTTAAAAAAACAAATTACATCTTTTTAGTAAATACTAAGTCATTAAAATAAATTTGAATTCAAATAAAGACTCATTAACTGAGACTCATTTTTCAGTGAATAACTAATAACAATAATAAAACAAATAAATTCGTGATATAAATCAAAAATCGTCAAATAAATTCGTAATATATAAATTCGTGAAAAAAAGCGCTTTCGACAAAATACTAAAATAGAGATCTATCGACAAAGACTACTCACTTCTGCCTAGCTTAATAGTATGAGATTGCGGCAACTGAATTGTTATTTCAGTTTCCGTTTTTAAAAGCGCTATATGTTGAGCCAACTGAGCTAGATTTGGCATGTGACATTTTTAGCGGCAATCATTGGTCGATTTTCTAGCGTTGCCATTCGGAGATGTGTAATGAGGCTTTTTTTGTCGCCGTGTAAGAGAAATTTATATATAGATTTGTAACTGTATGACAAATTTAGAAATCTTTATCACGTTATTTTTAGCTCAAATTTTACATGCATATAAATTCCATTTTATTTCACAAGTTATGAGCAATGGGAAATCTTATTTATAAATTTTCTTGAGGCTGTATTATAGGTAATCGAATAGCCTCCCTGCATCCATAGATGTTTTGAAACTCTCTATTTTTCTACTATGTTCGTAAATGGAACATATATTTGTCATTATTGTGTTATTGTGCAAAGAAAAAAAATTATATGCAAAAAAAAAATTATTGCTAGTTGCATATTTATTACAAATTTAAAAAAAATACATAAAACAAATTTAAAAACAAAATGTACTAAAACATTTTTTACTTTCATTTATGTTTAGTAAACAAATGTCACATGCGTCGTTGTTGTCATTAATACACGAAATCATCCATAAATACTACATTAGGGGTTTTTTTTCCTATGCCAATCCGGATATTGACTTTCGTCATTCGGGTATCAAATGCGCAGATTTCTTGACCACTCTCTCAGAGGCACCCTATTAAGAGGCCGCCATACCAGAGGAGAAACTTTTCATCGCAAATTCTCTCTTACCTTCATAAGTAATTTAAAATTTAAAGTACAGAAAAAGTGAGTTCTGGCAAACGTGGAGTAAGCCGCAATGTTTCAAATACTGCGAAAAGAAATTTTCAAAACATAAAAATGAAACTAAATTATGAGAAGATAATTTAGGATTACGCAATGGAGAAAATCTCTCCAATAATTTGTTTGTATTTTAATATTTTGAACGTTTCTTTTCACTAATTGACACTTCATGGCTCACTCTAGGTCTGTCTGAACTCACTTTTTCTATACTTTAAATTTTTAATTAGTTACGGAGATGAAAGAGCATTCTCAATGAAAAGTTTCTGCCGTGGTATGGAGTCCACTTAAGTAGCCCAGCATTGCTCCCACGGTAAGAAACCGAGAGGGAAAATTATAGATGCATGCTTTTAATCCTCTTTTTTTAATTTTCACAAATAAGCTGAAAATAGATATTTATTCTATTTGGCCGTATCTTTCGATGCATGTAAAGTACGAGGCCGCCACCTATTCACAATTTGAGATATAAAGAGCGTTAATTAGCTTAAATTAGCGTTAATTACGTTTTAAAAGCGAAAAAATTAAATTCTATATAAATGTTTTCTAACAAAATTATATGCCAATACAATTCTGCTATTAACAGTTATTGATAGGTAGTTGAATTGTATACAGTTGCCGGTTTTTAGAAATTTGATAAGTATCCTTGTTTTGATGCAATTAATGTTAATGGAATTCTTGAAGTTTTTCAAATCAGTTTTCCCCATTTTAAACTGTAATAAAATTGAATTTTAAAAAATTTGAAAACTGGGAAATGTGCAGTGTCATCAATCGCATCATTTAATTGCTTTAAATCGCATCATTTAATTGCTTTAAATCGCATCATTTAATTGCTTTAAAGTTTTGAGGAAATTTCCTTAGGAGCTCTAAAAATTATCAAGTGCTGATTCTCCTAATCTAAGATAGTGACTCCTTTGATGTCTACCTTTTTTGAGAGATATTGTACTCTCTGGTAATACAAGAACATCAAAAGTTCGTTAAAAACAAAAAATATCAAGAAAACACAAAATAAAAATTCTACGTAAAATCCAAGATGGCGGGGCAAATGCCACTTAAGTTCATGTTAATTTTCTTCTTTCAGTGTTCTTAGTAATTTTAGTTTTCTTTAAGAAAATATCTTTTATAATTATAATGCACTTTAAAGCAGCCTATGAGAAACGTAGGAATAACATGTTTAGTAATACCAAACTACACTTATACCTCTTGCAGAAATTTAAAACAGCGTATGAGAAACGAAAATAAAATCATGTCTAGTTAATTTCAAACTACACTAAACTCCTTGCAGAAATTTAAAACAACTTAAGAGAAACGTGAAAATATCGTGTTTAATAATTTCAAACCATTCTATAATCCTTGCAGAAATTTAAAACAGTCCATGAAAAACATAAAAATATCGTGTTTAGTTAATTTCAAATTACACTATACTTTTTGCAGAAATTTGAAACAGCCTATGAGAATCGAAAAAAAATCGTGTTTAGTTAATTTCAAACTGCACTATACTCCTTGCAGAAATTTAAAA